CTGCTAATGGAAATATTCTTGGCCCCAGCTTCCATTTGATAGATTAGTGTGATATTCAACTAAAAGGTAAATGGATAGAAATACTCAAGTTCATTGAAAAATGAAACTTCTACCCAAAATTTAAGGACAAATACAGGATATGCTTTGCAGTATATATATATATAACTTTCAGATTTAATAAAGAAATATAGTTTTAACGGTTATTTGTATCCCAGCCCTTATTCGATGCTATACTGAGTGCAGGATATAGTGTCTTGTCTCCAAAAGGTCATAAGGGAAGTTCTGCCGTGTGCTTTCCAGAGAAAGGGTTGCAGGTTCAGTTCCTGAGTTTACAGCAGGTTTCACAGTGTTCCTTCCAAATCTGTTAGGTATTATTTCACATTTACCAGCATTTCCCAAACTCTATTTACAAAAAAAAAAAAAAGTTTGAAAAAATTAAACATAAAATTAAGAGTATATTTATTTTACATGTCACTGACTTTGGATTAAATATTTCAGATTCTGTAGTAGAATAAAAGGCCTTAAATATTTCAGCATAAGCAAAGTTAGCCTCAAAGGAAGAAATCCATTATGCATAAAGATATGATATTTGCAGATACAATGCAGAGTTAATATGCAACCCAAAACATACAAACAAAAACCAGAGGAGGACAGCACACGAGCCCCACAGCAGTGTGGTACATAAGTGTATTCACCATGGACTGACTCCTGTGTCTGATTTAGATACATTTAATTAACTGGTAGGCTGGTGATGCCTTTTGCACCCATCCTTTTTTTTTGTAAACCAAGAAAGAAAATGAAATGAGCCCACTTTGTGACTGTGAACTTCCCAATGAGAATTTGAGAGTAGCCGTAAGAGGACAGTTTATTTCTCAGGCATTTTTTGGCAAGGCAGATGCGCTTGTTTCAACCTGAAACTGTTCTTGCTGGAATTTTTAGCCTACCAAGTGACAACAAACTTCTCATGCTGTTTTCAGGAGGCCCAGAGTTACAGCAGGTCTCTGCCCTTACCTCTGCTCAGTGTGAGTTAAATGCTGCACACCAGACAAATATTTCTTGCTGGGATGGAAAAGAGGACAGGTAAAACTTAATTAATAGTGTCTACTTCAGTGAGGCTGGAAAGAGTGTCATATCTTCCTGAAGCTGGGATTAACAAATCCTGAAGTCTTCTCACTGCTTATTTTTCATATATCGACCAAAATCACAGTTCTGTGTAACTGGTAATCTCTTTGAGATGTGAGACAAAACCTGTATTTCATGTCAGAGAAACAGCTTTCCAATGGCAAATCAATGAATTGCTTTTATTCAGTTGCAAAAATTCACATGTTGATAGGTGAGGACAGCAAAAATTAAATATTGTTTAGCTTTTGTATGTATTTTTTTTTACATTGAAAATCTGTATTTTGATTTCTAAAGCAATGCTGAAATTGCCTAGTTGCTGTAAAAGCCCAGCTTCATGCCTTATCATTATTCTGTGTGGTACAACTAAAAGTATCACACCGATTACCAGAGAGAGGTAGGAGAGCATCCCCCATTTGAAGGCTGAGCTCCACTGCTTCTATGACATTAAACATACAGTTTTGCTCAGCTCTGCCAGGACTGTGGATAAAGGCTCTTCTCTCAGATATGAGACATCCATGCACATCATCAAGTGCTGAGACTGATGTCTTGAAATGCTAAAAGACTGATGCTTTGAATCTGTGACTTAGCAAGCTGTCTCAGCAGGATCGTGAATCACCTGGATAGTTGTTGCTTTGTGCTTCTCACGGCCACGACTTCAGTCCAGCAGCAGAAATGGTTTGTACTGTGTCTATCACTTACCTCTCTGCTTTGGAAATAAAAACGTAGGTTTTTCTTATGATTCCTTGAAAAATATTTTGTCTTCTGAGTCCAAGCTTAAGAACTTTGCAATATGAAATAATAAATGACCAGATAAGCAGCTGTCACCTGTGACTGTTAACACTGTACATATAACAAATTTCAAGAGTAGCTTAAAAAAAAAAAAAAAAAAAAAAAGAGTCCTGCCAGGAGGACAAATCATTTGACAGATTAGAAAGTGTGAGCTGTATAAATGTCTGTGAGATGTACCAGTGCTTGCAGCCAAGCCCCACAAATTCTCTATTCTCTTTATGGTACCGTTGACTGTGCAAAGCAAAGGGGACAGCTGCTGATTCTGTAATGTCACCCCTTAATCAGCAGGAGTCCTCTCTTTTGGCTGATTCAGTCATATAATCCTGTGTGGCAGGGAGAGGTATTTACAACTTCTCAACCCCTAAATGAAGTACAAAAGTTGGAAGGATGGTCTCTCTGGGTTACTTACACAGTTTACAGCCAGAGACGGGCTCCTCCAAGAGAAAATTTAATACACCTAAGTTAAATTCTGCTAAGTAAAACACGTGAATGCTCCCTGACATGACAGTGCAACATCAATGCAATGACCGTGCTCCCTAGAGCACCTGCAGTTTGTCTTCTTATTTCCACAGTGACTGTAACTGGAAGTGCATTTAGGCTCCTGGATAAAAGACAATAACCCACTAAAAAAATCATCACTGTTATTAGTCTTTACTTACCTGGAGGTAAGTTTGGTTCATATGAACAATAGGTGCAGTCCCTAACACAGCTGGGGCTGCCCCTGTAACAGACTGGCACGGTAAGAAATAAAATACGGCGTGTGGCCGGACCTGCCCCAGGTGGCCGTACGGCCAGAGACCCTCCAGGCTGACCTGCCTTGCCCCTGCCTGCAGGCTCTGTCAGCATTTCAGACAGCACTGTACAGTGGCAATACCCAAGCTCGTTTTTAATCAGCAAAGTCAGGCTGCAGGGTATCAGCAGCCCAGGTGGATGCTTGCAGCGTAATGCACTTGGCTGCCCCAAGAATGAGAGACGAGGATATATCCACCATAGACCCTCCACAGAAGAGGACTGGGAGAAGCTGGGGCATGGAAACCTGCAGTAGTAACCAACTTGGTGGTATGACCTCCCAATATCATATATCATATATAATGCTAAATTAGATTTGTTACTGCATAAATGAAGATAGAAGGGAAGGAAGAGCAAGGACGTCTTGCCATGAGTTGCCTGGTCCTTCCCAGTATGTTACTGGCTGAAGCCCCTGTAGTGTGCTTGATAGGGGCATTCCCTCCACTATGTAGTGCTGCCAGGTGCTGTCGCTTTCTTCTGGACACAGACAGACAGAGTCTGCCCTCCTCTCTGTGTGATGTTTATTTTCCATAAGGCTTAGGAAGGGAAGGAGGAGAATTCATGTCCAGACAGCGAGGAAATGGCCAGGAGCTGACAAGTGGTTCTGGTCCTGCAGTTTAGACATGGCCCACATAATACAGCAGCTCAACTCTCTGTGTTCCAGTTTGCCCCTCTGATGCTCAGATGGGCACTCAGTGGAAATTGTGATCAAGGTCAGCAGTAGGAATGAGATCACACAACTGTAGGGAAGATTAACTTGAAAAAGTTTGGAAATCTTCAATGAATTACTGCTCTTTTTCTTAATCCCTTTAGGACTATTTCAAAGACTAATCAAATTCCACATCCTACATGTTACCTGACTAGCAACAGCTAACAAAGCCTGCAGCTATGTCACATACTAATTGATCGGTGCTATTTTTATAGTGCTCTGAAAAAGTCAGTTTCGTCACACAAGATAAAGTCCATTCTTCAAATAGCTTATAGTGGGAACACACTGGGAGATGACTGCAAACAGTGAAGAAAGAGTGGATGAGTCAAAGACAGTCAGAATTGCTCCATTCAGACATGCAGACAGCAGGATAATGCAGTCAGCGTTTTAAATTTACATAAAAATAGGGAAGAGAAGTATGCAGAATCACTGCATTACTGTCACTGCTGTAATGAGAGGGGCAGGCTTTCCACGTGGGCCTGGAACTATGGCAGCATGAAGAGGAAGGGAAGTGCACCCATGGGGGACAGCCTTGACAACACATACTAGACAGACAACAATTATGAATTATCTTAATGCAAAGTTCTCATTCACTACCCCAAGCACAAAAAAGCAAAAGTCCTGAGCCATCCCAATCATTATTGTACACTGCAGCCTCAGGAAGGGAGCGTGGCTCTACTCCAGTACAGAGACACGATTGCTTGGCTGGACTGTGCAACAGATTTCCTCTTGGTAGTACAAAAGGAGCCCTGCTTCTGTCAGCAGAAATGTGCTTTATTTCCTAGGCTGATGAAGCAGCATCTTAAGAAACAAGTGTAGGCTGAGGTGATAAGGTTGTGTCATGGCATGTAGCAATTGCCCCCACATACATTTAGTGGAATTCCTGACTCATGCCAACCAGAGCAAAAGGGCCAGAACCTGTAACACGGTGGAGGATCAGAGGGAGGCTCAAAAAACCCACTGGAGACCAAGCACTGATCTGGATTTTGGTTGTATGTGTGCAAATCAGCTGTGGCTCCAGCAAAGTCAGTAGATGGAAATTAGTGCATAAATTAAAATAATATCAGGCCCAAAACAGCCAGACCCCTGCTTTTGTTTTAGATAAAATTATAGGTACTATTTCTGTAGGGTCGAACACTCCACAGGGAGACACATGGGCATATTTTTGGCTCACTGTACCTGAGGAGGCTGTATCCTTCAGCCATACTTTAAAATGCACAAGCCATAGTCTGCCATATTTGCTTCTCATGATTTGGTATGAATAATCAAGAAATTTGATCTTCTGGTTATGTGATATGAGTACTGCTCTTTTTAACGGACAAAAACATAGAGGACATTCAGATACTGCAATAATCAGTAATTTAAAATGGAGGAGAGAGAGAAAGAATTTTTAGAACTGCTTATTCCTCAGTTTATGCATAATTTGCCGAAGATACTCTGTTTTTGTAATGAATAATATATTTTGGGGCCTGAGCATTGTTAGAACGCCTTTAAAATCTGATCCATAGTGTTTGACCATAACAGAAGGAGATCCTTTCACAGCCATAAATACTCATAAATACTAATTAACTATGTTTTAATCTTTTGGCAGAGATAAGGATTGCCTAAAAATATGGGAATCATTAAAACACGCATTCATTTACAAGAATCCCTGTAATATTACATCAGAAGATTATCAGCCCTTAATGGAGTTAGCGAGTCATCCCATACCCTGTAACAAGGTAACAACAATACAATGCATGGTGGGCTGCTTAAGTAGGACTGTTGTGGGATGGCATGTCTGTGCAGTGCTCTGAGTGATGGGATCTTGTCCATAATGTTTATGAGGGTCTGTAGGTCGACGAGGATGGTATTTTGCTCTTGTGCTTACTGCAGTAGTCCTGCAGTTACCACCTTTGGACCCCAGTAACCCTGTTCATTCTCTATCACTGGAAATGCTCCCTGTGTAAAGCTTGCCCCAAAATTAAGTACTGGGGTCATCCTGGGGAAGTGGCAGAGATGTCCCTGTTCCCTGAGCATACGGCTCTCTGTGAGCATCATGCTGTCGTGCTGTTAGAGGGACACTGCTTCCAAAAAGCTGCTCTTCCATGTGCAGTTAAAAAGCACTCAACAAATTAGGTATGTATCCTATGACAACTAGTCAAAACCTTTCTTTCTTGCAGCCTGAACACTTCCATTTCCACAAAAAATAACCACCCAAAAAGATTTTGGAAATGGGAGAGCGGGCTGCAGAAATAAAGTGGGCAGACCCACTAAGGTGAACTTGCAGCATTTCAGTAAAAACTAAAACACCTTCATTATCATGAAAACTTTTTGTTTTTCTCCAGGAAAATTTCCTGACCAGCTCTAGTATAAGTATTACTTATTGTACCTTATTTCACAGTCACTGTTTTGGAGCAAAACAAATGACCTCGCTCATCGTTATACAAAATCCAATCAAAATTTCCTTACCTTGGAGGACACCTTGTTGGGTTATATGGCTGATAGGGTTTCATGGTGTGGAGACCCCTCTACCCCAGGTAATAAGTCCTATTTTTTGTGAAACAAATATGAACACTGGAATTCCAGATTCTTATTTTCTTGTGTATCTAGACCTTTTTACACATTCTTTTCTTGTAATTTAATTTAGAACCTTAACTGTATTTCTCTCCCATGTTATGGAAGACTGAAAATAATACTTAGTTCTCAGGCAAATTTTAAAAACACAACTTTGGCTGTTACTAAAACACCAAGTTGTTGCTTGGACTAATGGTCACATCTAGCTCTCTTTATCTAGATTAGTGGCTTCCTTCCTGTCCTGTGGGACAGATTGCAAAACAAGAATGTCATTCAGAAAGGTCCTGGCCATAGGCCAGTCAAAGTGGCAGGGACATCATGTAGGTACCCTGAGGTTACCCTGCCTGCATGACTACTTGATGCTGAAGGCTAGTAACCTCTAAACTGGATTGGAATTACTGAAAATGTTGGGTAAAGTTTAATCTTTCAATGCAGTCAGATAGCATTTGTCAAGAGCCAACCCGTTTCTCACTTTTAGGACTACATGTTTTCCCTTCTCAGTTTGCTGAGAATCAGTGGCCTCCCTGAAGCGTGTGTGAGCAAACAGGAAGACCTTTGAACACACACAAATTCCTTTTCCTCTTAGGGCCCTTTCCTCATGTAGCCCTCTTTCTTTGGTAGGGGGCAAATCTTTTTGCCATTGTTAATCGGCTCTCAAAGTCCTTAACTATTGCAGCAATATTCACTCTAACCTTAGCTACTCTATAAATGTATCTCTTCTCAGGAATCAATTATGAATCTTGTCCAAAACGAAGTGAATGTGAGAGCAACCCTAACTCAGTATTCTGGAAAATGGCATCCAAGATGGTAAGATCTAGAATAAATCTCTCCGAATCCAAGCATATTGAAAGGCACTAAGTTCCTGACACTGCCAAAAATGTGAGTTTGCAGATTGGACTTAAAATATGGAATAGTAAAAGTTCACATGAGCTTTAGCTTCAGGTGCTAAAAATCACAGTATTGGAAATTTGTACTTCCAAGGTCTTTATGTACAATATTTAATGTCACTGTAGTTTGGGCATTCTTATTTGTGGTCAGAGACTGTGTGCCAGTGTCTAGAACAACACTTGGCAGACAGCTGGAGGTTTTCAGTTAATGTTTACAATAATAATAATAATAATCACCACCTTAATTAAATCACAGGACTGAAATTGCTAAAATAAAATACATTTTAGTTTGTTAATGTTGAAAGCAGTGCCCAAATTGGCACAGAAACTTTCCAAGCAACTGAGAATTCCCTTGCATCTTCCCAGCATAAACCTGAAGAGCATGGCCTCCCACAATGGTATCTGGCAAGGTTCCTGTGATGTACCCACCCGTATGCACATGCCACCACCCATGACATGAATGAGACCCTGCTAGTTCGAGTTAAGCAGTTAGCCTGGCTTTGTTGAATCAACATTTTACAGGAAAACAAACAAACAAACAAACAAACAACTGCTAGAAAAAAAACCTGCTCTCCTGTCTCAGTTTAATTTTACAAGTCTCTCAAGACCACCCTTGATAGGACTATTAGTAGATGACTGCGCAGGAGGAAACAAGCATTCCTGTATGCTTCAGCTCTCATGTATGTAATAAAAGTCTACTCACTGTAAAAAAAAAAAACCTGTTTTGTGGGTGAACTAGTGTACATAAGTTTTCCAAGCTCGAAACAGTTTCTATGTTCTCATTAATCCCCTCAGTTCCAGAGTCTGGGAGGGCTAAACCACCATACAGAGTCAGGCCTGCTTGACTGCAGGCTTTCTAGTCCAAATAAATCTAAGATCTTTCAAAATTCATGCTTATTACATTAGAAAGTTACACATAATCAAACTTTCCTGCAACTTCACAGCTCTCAAGATCTGAGTTTGAGCCACATTGTTTAGATGTAAGAGGACTTGGAAGATTTGACAAATACAGTCACCTGTGTTAAACTTTTTAAAAATTAGTTGTCTTACCAATGGATTATATATCCAGAGTGGATACTTTGTGTTGTAACCTTAGTAGTCTTTAAATATTTGGACATGAGTTTTAAAGAATAAAAGAGCAGCGATTACATGATCCAGTCATTTAAAAACTGAATCAAACAAAACTTGGTGATGAGTGTTTCTAAAACCACTGGAGAGAAAATTCCCAAGCCACAAAAGAACACAGGGCGTGAGTCACAAGGTGATGAATACACGGTGGTTTGTGTGTCCTTAAACTGGTGGTACCTCTGTTCTGGCTCATCCTCACCACCTGAGCTAAAGCAGTTTGAGGATCATTCCAAGTTACTACAGCCCCATCAGACAGCTGTAGCTGCCGGGGCTCTGGAAAGTCCTGTAAAAACTGAATATAGAAGTGACAGGAAAGTTGCTATACCAATCCCATGCAACCTCAGACTGCTTATTCACAGATGGCTAATGCAGCTTTATCACAGTTTTGCCATAGCATTTAGAGACTTTTTTTTGTTCTGCAAAAATACTGGACAGATCCCCTGCTTGTATAAATCAGTTCTGATGATATCAAAGAAGTTACAGTAAATCTACTAGCCCCAAGTCTGCAAGTAGTGTCAGAGTGTAATGTCCATTTGTTTTGTTCAGTTTGCAGAAGCAGCATGTGGTGTGGTTCAAGTGATGCTCAATGGATCAGTAGAAGCCGGAGCTTTCAGAAGCAGCAGGTATTTACTCAGCATGCTACCATTCATGTTTCTGTGGGGCCTGCATGCAGGTGCATGTGTCTTTGCCAGTGAGTCCCAGTGCAGAATGGATTTTGATAAACTCATATAGGGTCCAAACCATTGGCCACTGTAGAGCTGTTTCACTTAACTCCTTCTATACAGTGACTGTAATCAAAATTCTTCAAAGGGTATGCGGGTGGAGTATCCAGTACACTCTTATTCCACAAAGTAACTTTAGTATTACAGTTCATTTATTCATTAAATGTGAATGACACATTTCTAACTGTTCATGGAGCTGACTGGATTTTATCCCTGCAGACCGTGCTTCCTTGGGTTACCTGGCTGGAAGTACAGTCATGAATAATATGGAAAGATGAAGAATATGCCAGTCAGAGGAACAGCCATGTTTGTTTCCCTCGCACCAAACCAGATTAATAGCCAATAAACCAAACAGGGGAAAAAGGCACTAAAGATGGAAAAACTTCACCTTACTTCAGTCTGCGGACAGTTTCACAAGTTCTCAAGAATGTGAAATAAGAATGGTGGGGGGGGAAATATTTTATCACAAGGGAATTAAATAGTCTATGAAAATCCATTGGCAAAATAATGTTCTTTCACTGAGAGTAATAGCAGCAGTAATATGCACTAGTATTTGGGGAACGTACTCTCAATGTCTTTCTCAGATAACTAAGAATGTTTTGCTTTTTCATGTCCCATTCTTACAGCATCTTCGGAAGTATTGAGATCTTTAACCTAAATCCAGACAAAGTCTCTGCAGTGCACATTTGGCTTATGCATGACATCGGTGGACCTCAAACGTAAGTCACGTCAGTACAAAACAACGAGCAGTGTGTAGAAGGCAGATGGTGCAGCTCAGTTCTGATGAGTGACTAACAGTGACGCTGTCTTAAACCTGCTCACAAAACCTGTTCTACATTCACTTTCCTAGCTGCTTACTTTACAGGAAAGAATAACATTTGTACTGTTTATTTCTTCAGTACTTTTCATAGGTACTGGTGAACAGTTATGGCTAAGACATGACATTTTCCTTGCTTTCGGGAGTCCCATGACCTTTAAATTCCTTCCAACCCTACTGAGCTCTACAGACCTTTATTACAGGTGCAGCACTGAAGTCACTGATCAGGCTACATTTGCAAGGGTGAACAGCTGGAAAATATGTTTGTCCACAGAAATAGTATAATTATGCTGAGCAGAACCATTTTTGATAATATAATTTCAAATGCTGGAACAGGTTTCCCAAAGAGGTTGTGGAGTCTCCATATGTGGACATACTCAAAACCCAGCTGGGTCCTGGGCAACCTGCTCTAGCTGATATTTGTTGGACTAGATGATCTCAAGCAGTTCCTTCCAACCTAAATGATTCTGTGATTTTTAATGACACATCTGTAGATTAAATGCTTACCGTGGAATTACTGACACCAGAGCAGTGACCTCAAATCACATCTGAGCCTTTCTGAGTGGCCTTTTTTGTCCTGATCAAATTCATTTGCAGATTTATCACATTTCAAGCACTGAGTATGAGGCTCAGTGCCTTTGACCTCTACCTTCAGAGCCAGTTTTTTGGTTCGTGTGGTTGTAATGCACCGTCACAGTTTCTCCCATTCCTAAGAGAGAGGCAGCAGCTCTGATGCTGTGGGTCAGGAAGCAGGCCATGGTGATGCAGTGCAACTCAGGATTGAGTGTGGACCCAGCAGAGACCCTTGTTCAGACAGCCTCACTGTCTGACACAGTACCAGCTCCAGTGTGGCAACTCCTCCCCTCAACCATATGAAAAGAGACCCATCTCTGCAAAGAGACCCAGAAGGGTCTCTTTGCAACACAGAAGTTGGCATATCTATTGCAGCAGCTCACAGGCATACATCTATCCTGTGGTCAGCATGCCAGACATACTCTTGTGGCCCATTGCATAGAGGTTTGCTGAAGAAAAGGACATTAAGTAATCTGAACATTAGTTCCCCCAGAAAGGCACTTGATCCTTGCTCCTGTGGTTTCCCAACATCAGAAAAGCCATCAGGTTCCTCCTCAACAGCTTCAACAACCCAGTGCCCTGCCAGCCTTCTTGACGCATCTTCCTCCTGTGCCATGTTTACAGCAGTTTCCTTTTTATTTCCTACTTACTTCTAAGCAGAAAGAGGAAGGGTAGTTCCAATAATATGTATTCCTTTTATCTTCTGATCTATATTCCATGTTGAATCACTGATAACACCTGGCAAGTCTAGTGAACAAAGTAGAGCTTGGTCTGCTTTCCACTAATGCCATACATTAGGAACTGGATTTGCCCCAGTATTGTATTATTGCCCTGATGTGTGTCCTATACTCGGGACCAGGAGATGATTTTTATCCCACGGTAACAAGTCTATTTCAGTGTCTCTGTGTCTATGATATTTGGCAATCCTCTCACTACAGCTTTGGGCCCCTTGGGCTTTTCAAGTAAATTAAGCATAAAGATCTCAAAGGTATGACATTGCTATATGCTTCATGAAACCATTAGCTGGATGGGAAAGAAATACACAAGTTAGGGCTCCTACCAGTGGAAAAGTATTTGAAACAGCCTCTTCTCAAAACAGAGTAGCAGCAGCCATGGACTGAGTCAAAGAGATAGGAGGTGCTCTTAGCCTGCTTCTTCCCATGTTTTCTACCTGCTTCCTCCTATCTTAGGCCCTACCTGGGACTTAGCTGCTGGTTTTCATGATTGGCCCTTTGTCATCACACAGAGGATTTGATCCCTTCATCCTTCCACAGATTTGAATGAGCCTTATCTCATGCTCCTGTGGGTAGAGGCCACCAGCAGCTGTGGAGCACTTCTAGAAACTGTCAATGAAACTGGGGTATTTCCCACAGATACCTTTCTGCACAGAGTTCTTGTGCAAGATGCACAGCTGAACATCACATAGTTTCTACCAGTAAAGTCCCAAGGGTAGCCAAAACTCCACAAATCCAATGGACTTCACAGCACATTAGCAAACAAGCTTTTAAAGAATCTTACCTGAAATAACGCAAACTGACATAGTGTGGAATTTAGCTGAGCTTCTTGTACACACAAGGAACAGGAGTAATGAAAGACTTTTCTCTCCAGTGAATCCTGCTCAGGTTATTCCATAAAGAGGTTAACAAGCATCTTAGAAGAGCGAAACTTTAAGATCACCTGTGAAGACAATTACAGGTAATTAACTGCTCCTATTGGTGACAACTTGCTAACATAACATTAATGCTGTATCTCCCTCTTGACTTAATATAGGTTTATGGCAAGCTAGAGCAGACTCCCCTCTTAATGCCATCACATCCCTTTGACATGGCTCCGTGCTTCTCAGGGGCTTCCACTAGTGCTGCAAACCTTGGGTTGGCCAAGTCTCAGGCTTGCTCTCTGCCCTGCACTTGCCACTGAGCATGTTCAGTTGCCTTCAGGGAAGGAGCAATACAGCCTCTTTCAACAGATTTTCATCTGACCAGGCTGTTAGCTACAACTGTCAGAACCAAACAGGCAGCTTTCCTCCCTGCTGCATGCAGATAATGCGGTAGGTCAAGGATTTACTTTCTGTCCAGCTGCTTTGTCAGAGAATGAGTCTTGGGACATGATACGTATAATTAATTACTATAATTGACCATTGTCAGGAAATGAAAACAGGAGTCTGGGAAACAGCAGCCCAAGTTCCGACTTGCCTGAAATCTCTATCTGCCTGCTGAGGAGATACAAAAGCGTGAGACCCTTTATCCCTCTGTGTGGGTTCAGAGACCTTCACACAGAGCAAAACTTTCTTTAGTGACATTAGAGAAGCAGCAAAGGTTCGATATTACCCATATCTTCTCTGTCAGGAACAGCTTTTCAAAGTGAAGAACTCGTACTTGGATAGGAACATTTCCAAAGTAAACAAACATTTTTATGAACTACTGAGTTTGACATTAGTTTTAAATGAGGAGAAGTTGATCTGAAAAGGAGACAAATGCCTTATCTGGTGATAGGACTTTAATCCTGAAGGCAGAGCAATATATTCCTGTTTAGGCATTGCTGAACTTGATTAACAGGTGCTCTGCACATTGTGAAAAAGTTAACACTGGTGTGGTGTATAAATCTGCCAAATTGTGATGCTAGTATACTTACTCTCTCTTTGAGTAAATGCAGCCTTTAACCAATACTCCCAGAACCTGTAAGTAGATACAGATTATTTCAGCTATGATGAAATAAGCTAAGGGGCCAAGGAAGAAGGGGAACTATGTAGTAGCTTAGATCCCTCGTGGCTCAGCGCAAGGAGAAACCTGTAACACATGAAGAGTTATTGACACACTCGTTTCTGTGGCTCACAACTTGCATCTTAAGATAGAATAACAAGTAAGGCTTTTTGTCAGAGCTGAACTAACACATATGTAAACAACTGTGTAGAGCAACATGGACAATTCATTTTACTATTTTATATACAGAGCAATAATAAAGTGAGCAATTTACACATGCAGTAAAACTCTTCAGGATACAGAACGTAAGTTAGCTTCACTCTCCTGAAGTTATTGCACACAGAACCGTGTGGGTCCGTAGCAGCTGAGCACCTGGCTTTTCATGCCATGTAGCGATTGATGCTGATCATTTTTTCTTGATTTTGTCCATGTCAGCGGTGTCTTCCAGAAGTATCTCAAAAAAAAAATAGATTTACTAGATGCACTTCTAGCAAAAAATGTAATTATATCTGACATTGTTAGCAACAGCTTTACATTGTAGCAGTAGGGGTTACCATTGGGTAAGCAGGATGGTGAACTTGCAGCACAGCAGCAACTGTGTAGTCTGCACAAGAGATCTTACATCTTTCTTATTATTTTTGTTATCACAGTGTAGCTGACATGCTGCGAGTTCACACCCTACTTTATTTCATACTCATTTGCTCTTGTCCCCAGCCCCTATAAACACTAAAGTTACCTTTCTATGGCAAGATATAAAAGAGATTCTCCTGAGACATCCACTTGATAAGCACAGATGTAACATGCACTTTGACTTTCACATCACATTTAGTAACTGTGGAGTTACTCTGTTGTACTTACAAAGTGGTTACTAAGTATTTGTTTGGTTTTGTGTCTTATCACAGGCCAGTTCAGCTCCTTCAGTGTGTGCATAACCCTGACCACACAGACTGCAGGCTTTGCACCAACACCACGGCAGCTCCATGAAGAGAAGTCCTCCATGCTGCTGAAGACTTTTGTTATTTGTGTGTAAAGCTGGCAAAGATGTGGCTACCTAGCTTAGAATGATAAACAGTAGTGTGGTGTGTACAGAGTCCATAACCAGAAATCCTTGCTGTGATACTAACAGCCAAATAACAGGAGAAGATACTTCAGGTGTGATTACTGTACACACATGCACATAGATATATGATTTCAGAGGGAGTAGGGACATGTTCAGTGGTTAAGGGCAGGTGCTTTGCCCTGGTTTTCTCCCTCCTGTGCAGCTCTCCTTGTGCCATGAGGCTCAGAGCAAGGGTTCCCTGAGGTGTCCACAGAGAAGAAGAGTCTTTCCAGCAGCGGCAGAATTTTCCCTGTTCAGAGCTTGGCTTCCTCCCCACTGGAAGGCCAGGTGGGACGTGAATAGAGCATCCTGTGCTCGCCCTACATCCCGGTATAACATCCCCCCGAGGGGAACATTGCCCAGTGGCACATGATGTAAATCGTGTTTCTCCCAGGGACTGTGGCACCCCTGAGCAGGTAAAGCAAGCAATGGAAGAGGCAGAGCAGTTTTTACCTTTTAACGGGCATCACGGTAAGTGGCTGGTGGGGAAACAGCTGAGCTGAGCCAAGAAAAGACCAGAAACAGACAGCTCAGAGGGTCGCCAGCAGAGTGTGTAGCTGGGGAGAGAACACAGCAAGACTGACTCAGACAGCCCCATTAAAATCCTACTGGAAACACTGTTGCAGTTCAGATTACATTTTATTCTTAATATAGCAGTAAGTGTAAGCCTTCCAACTTTCATAAAAGGTCCCTCAGGCCACAGTTTGGCCATGCACTGAAACAGGGACAAACATCAAAAGGTTGCCACAATAAAGAGTCTCTCTTGACCTCAGTTTCTGAGGTGAAAGGTGATGCCTTGTGGTGTATAATTCACAAGCACGGACATGCCATATTACACCAAAACAGCAGGTTTCATTGATTTCCTTTGATTTCTGTTTTGCTGGTCTCACATGCATAAAGTGCAGTGTTTACAACAAAACAAAGATCTGAGGCCAGCTTGTGGCTGTGGCTGTAGTGCCTTTGTGTAGTGCCATTGACACAAAGAGAACAGAGCAGGCTTTGCTACAGATACACTCCTAGGTGTTGCAGCTGACAATTCATTAAGCACGCCGAGGTTTCCATGATCCCATAGGCAGAAGGTTATAATGCCATATGTTTTAGTGACTACCCAGAGTGCAAGAGATCCTTGTGGAACTACACAAGTTGGTGTAATTTCAAGCATCTCTAGATAAATCTTTTCTCTGTCATACACAGGGCTGCACTGAGCATATCTGGACCACATCCAAGACCTCGCCCATAATGTTTACATTAAGCAAAATGCATTTTTATTTGCACTCTCTTATGTAACTGCATAGATGCATCAATGAAGGCACATACCAATACTTTCAGATAGGTTATTTCTGACTACAGGTCAAGAGTTTGCCTTCATGGTCACTTTTGTACCTCTTCTGTTGTAATGTAAAAGTTGGTTGTAAGATCAAGGTCTATAATAAAATCACTGACGACAAACATTGTTAATTCAGTTTCACATTCTGCTTAACCTCAGAGTGAACATGAAAATAACCCAATTCCTAAAAATAACTGAAATTCATTCAACATATGAAACTCTACATATGCCCCCCAGGAAAGCAGAGAAAGGCCACGGTGTGCAGCCTGCCCGGACTGTACTCTCACTACCTCACTCTCCACCTTACACAGCTAAGTCATTGTCTTTGTAGGTGGGTAGAAGTGAAACATCCTGTGTCTTTATCTTGAACACAGACATCCATGCATATATATGTTGTTCTCAGTCATATTAGTTAAGGATGATGACTGTTCTTATCAGTGGTTACGTAGTAAAATGATAAGAAGCAAATTGTTATTTTTGAAAGCTGAGGTGCACACAATACAGGAAACTGAGCTGGAGTTAAATGACAGCTTTGTAACACAGGTGGTTGGCATGAACGTTGTCCCACAAAAAGTCTTTCTTTTAAAGGTATGTCAAATGACACATCTTTGCAGGGAAACGTGGCAATAAACACATTTATAGCTAGGGAAATTAACTCATGATAGCCTGTTCTCATTCTGACTGGTTATTCTGCTGCTGAGAGGGGCTGCAAGTTTTGAAGATTTGCGAGTAGATGAACTGGGAAGATGTTGCAGGACGCTAATGGCTCATTTGCTTTTCCCTTCATTAACATCTGCACAGGGAGAAGAGTCAGCCCAAGCACAGTGGCTATCACACGCTCTGGATACTCCTCAGCCCCGTTCCCCAATACCACTCCCAAGGCCCATGGAGCTTGGTGTCATCTACTGTGTCCTGCTGCTTGCCCTTAGGGGGGGAGCATTAACATTGGCCCACTTTATTTATTAGTACAGATGCCCTATAGGTGTACATCTGGCCCACTATCACATTCAAGTCTGTGCTGCTCGGGTTACATACACAGCAGAGCATGAGTGAGCTCATTTCCAACAAGGATTTTTATTATCCATGATCACACAGTTGAAATGTCATGAAGACATGTCGTACCAGGCAAGTATAATTCCAAATCCTATTGCTCTGCTGAAAAATTATAAACCAAAAAACCTCCCAAACCAATACAAAGTGTCCCAAATATAGAAAACTAAATAAAAGAAAAAAATAATCTATACCTTTTTTCCACAATATGGAAGAAATGTTTCTTAATATAGTTTGAAACATGTTGGGGTTTGAAAATATGCTTTCAATCTGATGAAACTAACCTCTGCCACAACTTGTTCAAGATAAATGGGCTAGCTTGTGCCCCAGGCCCATAGCAAGCACTGCCAAAGAGCACTGCCCAGAAACTCGAGAGGAATCTGAATTACTGTGTGATAAGGTGATATCAATGCTATGTACTCCCAGAGCCACTCAGCACTGGGAAAGCTACTTCTGTCACCCTATTACCACAGCACTGCTGCTCCCCCAGTCTTTGATGTACTTAACCTGACAAGAGTCTGCAGTTACTAAACTTCTTTTTGAGATTAGGAAACAAATTAAATACTGAAAGATTTGTTCTCCTTGCTAGCCACTGTTTGGCCTTCTGTTTGATTTAAAACGTCAGCCTCTCCTAGGGTCAGGAGGCTCAATAGGATGGCATGCAAAACAGCCTGAATTCCACTTAGGCCCATATGCCTCGTGTTTTCTCTTGGCAGAGCCCAGGTAGCTGCTGCCACACATCACTTCAGCCTCCTGAATCTCCCTGTCAGGGACCTGTAGCTCTCTCCATTGCTTATGTGTATGGACATGGGTGAAATTAATGACTGTGACTACAGGCCTTCATTTAAAATAGCAAGTCTTATGAGTCTAGAGAGAAAAATGAAAACTGGAAATAAAGGTTTAAACAATTGAAGGGCAGTAAACCTTATCCTCAGCATCTATTTTTTTTTTTTTTAAAAAAAAGCTTCTTTTTTAAGTTATTGTGCTGAATTTTTGGAGTCCAAAAGTCTTAGTGCAGTGCCTGTAATATAATCTATGGAGAAGAGTCTTTGGAGAGGCAGTTTTCTTTTTGTTTCTATGTGTATTGGCAGCATATAGTGCAGTGGATCTGCATCCCTCTGGACACTGGCAATAGGGGAGTGGTTTTGGCTGGGACTTGACATAGCTGCAGCCCTGCAGGGTCTATCAGTCAGGGACAGAAGTTTCCCCTTGCTTGATTTGGGCTACCCTTCCTGCGTGTACCTGGGAAGACTCCCTAATACTCAAAACAGTGACCCTCAGACACCGTCTTACATAAAAGAGCTTGGTAGAAGGAGTAGAAAAATTAAATCAGCAAGCCTTCAGGTAGAAAACGCTGTGAACTGGCTGCATCTCATAACCCCTTAATAACAATATCATTTACAGGCTGAAGACAACAATTAAATGTGCTAAGAGGCTGATCCTTCCTATTAAATAGTTTGCAAGGAGTAATGCACTGGCTAATCCTAAGAAAACACTTTGCATGTAAAACACAAAGGCTGGTGAAAAGATAAGAATCAAATAGTGTGGCTGAATGACAGAAGCAAAACTGTAGTAAATACAACAGGAGCTTCAGTAGCAGAAGAAAAAGGTGCATAAAAGATCTAGCTCTGTAGCTGGGTCATGACAACCGTACTGCCTACATACCTACGACCATGGAGTGCACATCTGCCTGTACTTGAAGTCGAAGGGCTGGATTCAGCATTTGACTAAGCCACAGAATGCTGTGCAGGCTTAAGCAGTCCCCACGCAGCCTTTTCAGTTTTCTCCTTTATCTTGCAGCAGCATCATCCCTCTGTTCTGCCAACACAAGTGTTTCATGAAACTCCTGATGAACTAGGACAGGCAAAAGGTCTGGGATAATATTTGTTTTCCCTGCTTGGAGAAAAGAAAAGCTTATATGTAGCTGGGGAAAAAAAAAAAAAAATCAATGGGAGATTTTTGTTTCAAACTGTATGTTTATTTTCAACGCTGCTTTGTGCAGCAGGAGGGGGCAGCTGCCTGCTCACTGTTCCTCCTTTCTTGTGGGGCACTGCTTGCCCAAATCAGAAGAACCCAAGAAGCACATACAGCAGCATCTGCTCCACACTAGCACATTTCATAGCAATGCAGCTAATTTAACCCTGATTCATTTCACTACTGGGATTTGGGTGTGCACTGGGGGAGAGTAGAGTGGAGAGGGTTAAAATCCATATTAAATACTTTAGATAGGATTAATATTATTTAAGATTAGTCACCTGATTGCACAGACTTTTTCTATAGTCAAAGGGACAAACCAGGCACCTCCTGAAAGTGTTTATCCTGCTCTGTGCTGGTGGGGTAAGACAGTAGGGATGATGTGCACTCCAACAGAAGCTTCTTATTTCTCTCCACTGACTATGAAAGTCATCTAGATTATTAGCTCAAATTTATAAAATTAGCTTCCAGGTAGCTAAAGTTGCATAAAATAAATCCCAAACATAAAATGTTTCTCTGTGAGAAATATTCCTAACTAGAAAAAAACATCCAAACATCCTCTCACGTACAGCCAATGAAAGGTTTTATAATACTTAAAAATCATAATTTCGAAATCCATTTTCTGAGTATGCAAAGCAACAGTTCTAAAACTTGCTGACCGTTTCAGGAACTGACTGTGTGATAATGCAGTCTTTCAAGTATATCAAATGAAGTCAGTTAAAAATCTGATCTTGTGCTAGAGGAGAAAAAAAAAAAAAAAAGTTGTTATTAATCTTCTGCCTCTATTTCATATCTTGTTTTCTGTTGACTGACTCCATTTTCAAGACTGAGATCACATTTGTTTGCTTTAGGGATTTTATTTGTGCACATGACATACTTCCTTAGGTTTTTTTTTTGCTAATTTAGTTACAGAAGCACAGCCAAAATTGCCTGATGCCACCATGAAAAAAATCTTATAATTTCTTTCCTATTGCTTAATGGAATAAAAATGCAAGCAGGTGTAAATTATATTTACACCTCAAATAGCTTAAAGCATAGCTTAAATGTTTTATTCTCTTACTGAAATTGAAAACACGGAAATTAGTCAATATAGGACAGTTACACTAAAGGTTTGCACAGGACCAGGACAAACTCCAGGGAAAAACTTTTTTCCATTGCTACTCTTCTTGAAATATCAATCAAATCAATAGCCCTGCATTTCAATTAGACCTGGGACTTCTGCAGCTGAGGTCTGTACCTTAGGAGCTTGAGGTCTTCTGCCTGAGAACAGTAGCAATATTACATTCCCTGTGGGTCAGACACAGAAGGGATGTGTAATTCACTAACCAGTCAGTTGGAGCTGCATTGGGATAGATAATAAACTTCTTGAAAATGAGCCCTACGCAGAACCTTATTTTTCTGCTATAATACATATGTTAGACGACCAGAAGGAGCCAGCTTTCCTTCCCCTGAAGTCAGACTTTCAACAACTTCAGCATGTGGCTATGTGTTTGGTTTACAGCAGGAAAACATTAAGAAAAGACTAAGAAGTAGTTTAGACATAAATAAATTATAGAAATAAACAAAATAGTAGTACGCGTAATAGCTCATTCCCTATACTAAAAATATTACTAAAAACAGGATGCAGGAAATAACTTTCATGAGTAATACCACACACTTCTGCTATGTGATATATGGGGCTGTTTCACATGAAGAAGTGAAATAGTAACATAAGGCTTGATAAGTTTAAGCAAGTCCTGGGATGCTTGAATCCTTTGTTTTTCATTAATCAATTCCATTTATCTTTGACCTGTAAATGTATTGAATATATTATGTAGATAGGGATTCACTTCTATGGCTACTAGGGACTTGCTATGTGACACTGGGCAAACAATTTAATCTCCAGATTTGAGATGGGCTGCCTGAATGGGAAGAACAATAAGCTGATATTTTAAAATTTTAAAATCATGAGGGTTATCATAACATCTAAGCTGATCTTATGAATATTGCAGCTATGTAGCTTCATCCTATATCGTGCCTCTACTCTTTCCTCAAATTGTGCTTTAAGCTAATGCACTGTTTGCAGAGAGACACTAGCCTCATGCTCTCTGATAACATG